ATCTTCAATGATCGACAAAGAAACCAAACTCTCGAAATCCGGAGGAAAATATGAAACCAAGTGGTGTGAAAAGTCCAAGAAGAAGCACTTCGGAAGATGCGATGGAGAAGTGACCTGCTATAAGTGTGGTAGGATCGGTCACTATTCCAGAGATTGTACGTTCGACAATAGGAAGTGTTACGAATATGGAGATGATGGTCATATTTCGAAGAACTGCCTAAAGAAAGACAAAGCTGCAAAGAAAAATGTACCGCCACAGCCAAGGGCATTTCACATGATCCTCGATGAAGCGAATCAAGGATGAGGATTTTATATCCAACGATCAAGTTATGAAGTAACAGTGTGAATAGTAACGTATGATGTAGCCTATTAGAGGCATAGTATAGGGTGAAATTGAACTTTTGTGTAATAGTTTCAAGAATTAATATAAACCCTGGTTTTGTTATCTGGTGTGTTGAATGATTATATGATTTATGTATGGTGACTTGGTTAACTGCAAGACAATACTTGGGACGACTATGAGTAGGTGTGAATGGTAGTAGAGATCTATACTACCGGAAGCACAGGACTCGCACTTGGATCAGGGAAAGTTGCAAGGTTACCAGGAAGCTAGTAATTGATTTCGTTTTATTCAAGTTTGTCATTACCCTTGTTTCGGTAATGGCTAGTGGGATGATGGTTATTCTGACCCTGGTGGTCATATTAAATTGAGTCCGACTATGATGAGAGGTCATCGGGACTCGACCCATCGGTTAGTTAAAATAGATAAATGAATGTATTTACCCTAAGAAGAATAAGGAGTCCACAATAAGGATTTATTTTTGTAACTTTAAGATTTCGATTGAAAGTCCAACATAGTACGAAGAGTAGATGCAGGATTGAGCATCAAGGTTATTACTTAGGATGGAGAGATAACTTATGGAGTCAGTATACGAATCCTATTTCGTTGATGATTCCGGGACGTAATCATCCTAAGGGGGAGATAACTGTAACGCCCGTAGATTCGGGCTAGTCAATTTAGAGATGATAGACGTCAATATTATTTATAATGAATAATCTTAACTAAGTTATAGTATATGTTACAAGGTTTCTGTACATATAAAGAACGCCGAAATCCGAGTTATAACGAAGAAGTTATGACCTGTCGAAGTTTCGTGACAGAACCGGAACGACGCTGAATGACGTAAAAAAAAAGTGAATTTATGTTAGAGTGATATTTAGCCTTATCAATCTAAACGAAAGTCGTAGAGTTCGTTAAACTGTGAGAGTGCATAAAAAGAACGTCCAAATCTGACTTCATATGAGGAAGTTATGATTTTTCTAAGTTTCAGCTTAGTAGTTTTGCAGCCCGAATACTCAATTTGAGATCGAGCGGTTTTTAGCTGAAACAATCTAAACGAGAATCGAAGATCTCATTGTTAGTAGCGAAACGATGAAAATTTAGGCGATAACGGACGTCGGACGAAGAAGTTATGAATTTATAACGAAGTTTTTCTGTCCCGACCTTCTAAAAATAAATAATAAAAATAAAAGTCAAAATTAGCCAACGGAGTCTAAATGAAAGTTGTAGAGTATGGTCTGACCTACGCGTGGATATAAAGAACGTCGAAAACGGAGCTCGTATGCAAAAGTTACGCAATTTAGAAGTTCGACGAGTCAAATTACGCCCAGCGTACTCAGAAGGGTGCAACTTGTCTGACCAATACTCGAGTGCCACCAATTGACGCATACAGTGACGTCAAAGTACGCCCAACGTAACCTAATTACGCCCAGCGTACTAAGTACACCCAACGTAATTAGAAATTACGCCCAACGTAATCCCAGACCCAGCAGCCTATAAATAGAACTCGAGATCAGCCATTTTCCTTGCGATTTTTCTTCCTTTCTCTCTAAGTTTTGCATCGTTTTACGTGCCAATAATATCCCGAAGCCCCGGTATCATTCCCGAGACCCGAAGCAAGTCCCGAGGCCCCGAATATCCCGAGAAGTGCAATTCCCGAGCCGAAGCTCTGTCCGCGAGAAGTCCGGTTTTTGTGAAGATCTTCCAGATCTACCGAAGAATACTACTTCTACAAGCCGTAGTGCTGTCCGATCATCTTCTGATCAAGTGAGTGTGTAGTTACTTTCTTCTAACGCATAATTATGAAGTATTCTATACGAAATACGTGTTATTTGTATATATATTGTTGTTTATATGTATGAGTGTGTGGTTACTCTCTTCTAAACACATAAATATAAAGTATTGGCTATGAAATACGTGCTATGTGTTATATATTAATTGTCTATATGAGATGGGCTTGGAATTGATGTTTTTATATGGGTGTTAAATGATTTAAACTATATATGTAATTTATATCTACAAATATGTTGGGTAGAACATGAAGTAGATGAAATAGTTGATGTGTGTTGAACGAATGTGATAAGAGAAAGGTGAGGATATAATGGTGATGATAATTGGGTGATGAGAAACAGGTGATGATAATTAGGTGATGATAGAAAGGTGATGATAATTAGGTAATGATAAATAGATGATGTGAGATGAGAGGAGATACCATAACCTTGACCGGCGATGTGGAAATTTGGCGATGTAGTCATCTACCAGAGTATAGATGGCGACCACAGACTATTCTAGATGACCCCGTGGAAACACCAGCATGCTCATAACCTGTAGGTGATGAATTACGAGTCCAGGCGATGTTGTGGCTACGTATTCATGCGATGATACTCTAACCCTTACTATGGGATTACGAGTCCAGGCGATGTTGTGGCTATGTATTGATGCGATGATAGTCTAACCCTTATTATGACTTACTAGTCCAGGCGATGTTGTGACTACGTATTCATGCAATGATCCTTATGAAAAAGTCCTTAGGAACAAACATACAAGGAAATGTGATGTAAGGAGATGAGAGGTAAATACGATGTAGGAGATGACCCTTAGGATAATTCCTTAGGGAAGGTACTTAAGAAATAAATGGAGATAACGGGGATAGGTAATTGGGTTGATTGTTTGATGATTGAATATAATAATTATATTATTGTGGGTTGAAAACCCTATATGCTCACCAGGCTCCCAAGCCTGACCCACTCAGTTTAATTGTATCACAGGTATCGATACGAAGCTGCTTTGCACTGAGAGATTAAAGGAGATGTAAATCATTAGTGTAATTGAATGTAAGTTCTGTTTATGCTTATATGTCTGTATCGGAACATGACATCCCGAGGTTTTATTATTAATTGAAAATACATTCTCTTTGAGAAATGTTTTGATAAGTTATTATCATATCTTGTTTTGGGAACAAATTCCGCAACCGTTTTCTTTAAAAGATTACTCTGATTTTATAAAACAAAACATAAACAAATCGGTCTTTTCTGGCCGTAAAAATGGGGATGTCACATAGTGTTTGAGGAAGTTTCAGATTAATGAAGTTTTTGCATTTTTGCATTTTGGGTACACTCACAAGAGAGAAACTCTACGTTGAGTTCTCAAGTTCGATCAATAGGCTAGACCAAACATGCTCGTTCTAAGTTCGAAGTACCAATTGTACAAATAATAATCCACTTCGTTACATGATTTCTTTTTCATATAGATAGATATAGGATCTATGGGGCAATTACTTAAAAGTACATTTTGTGCTACAACCCTTCCTATCTTATAGAAAAGGATCCCATGATCCTGGACCGATCTTACCTGGGATCGCAAATCCCAAATTTGTCTATGAAGAGTGGATCTAATTGTATTAGTATCTATAATTGATGTAGTGTAGCTTGGTAGCACGTTTGTTTTGGGTACAAAATGTCACGGCTTCAAATCCTGTCATCCCTACCTATTATTGCTCCTTTGAGCAGTAACGAGGGATTTTTTAGATCAATTCACATTGGACATATCATATAGAATCGTCCAAGAAGAAGACGGATTCATGATTACTCATTTTTATGTTTATCAAAGTTGCATATATTTGTTTTGAGTTATATATGTTTGTTTTGAGTCTATAGATTGGAAAACTTGTTGCTTATGCTGTTATAATTTGGCCGTTGACTAGGATCGAAACCCATCAGATGGGGGTGGTATCCAGATTCGTATGGGTGTTTGAAGGTGACGTTTTTGAAGCTTAGGTTGGCGGGCGAGAAGAGAACAATGCTTTTTTGGGGTTGCTTTGAATCAAATGGGGGCATTGAAAGAGAATTCGTTCAAGGAAGTGGGTTAAGAGAATTGTCTATGTGGCAAAGGATATCCGACTTACCCCTCTAGAATTCCCAAAATGAGTATTTAAACTCGAAAATTGTCACTTTATGCCCCTACAAAGCCAAAAATAAGTTTAAAGGCTGATTAGACAAATTCCGAAAACATTGTATAGATATAATGTCATTTTCCCTTTCACATATTCCAACTAACTTATTAATTACTTTTACCAAACATCATTTTTTATTAGTGAACTTTCTGTCGTGTGGACATCTTTTCTTAATATATTAAAGAGGGTTTATCAACTACTCTCTCATATAGAATGTTAGTAACTTATTACTTTTGCATCTTCAAAATGGCATGTAGACAAATTTGTGCTTATGACTATAACCCGTGAGTCATTACTACAAATAATTCGCGAGTTATTCTTACAAATGAAATAATAGAAATAAATAAAGAAAGATCTTAAGTTATAATCTAATAACCCATTGCTCCTAATGGTTTTGTTTCTAAAATCAACCACAAAATCAAATAAACTATTTCCTAACACATTTTACACCTTAAAAAACCAAGTTTATGGTTGATGATTTGATTTTGACCAAAACCCACACCGGACCTACTTTCACATACAAAATTTGATTTAGAAAAAAAAAGAGAAATAACCTTGAGGACTGAGCAAGACAATAAAAGGTCATTTAACGACCAAGAATTTACCGTTCTTCCAATAAGGGCAGGAAGTGAAATATATAGTATTGTCAAGGGACTAGTTAGTAACTCAATCGTGTATTTAGTTATTCGTTCGTCCGGTTTTATTTTGGCTTGAAAATACCAAATTCGAGGCGAAGAACTCTCTCCTACTCTGTCTCATCTCGCTCTCTCTCACACACAGATACACACAGTACCCCATTGATATCGCCTTCTCTCTATATTTCCACACTTCTCTCACTTTGCGGAGCTTCGTAACATCCGACACATGTCTAGTCATAGGGAAAGGGGAAAATTAGGGTTAGGGTTTTGAAGAGATTTCACCATGGAGGTCGAAGAAGAAAATAACTCAAAGCACCTTCAAGAATCGACGACAGCCGTATCAAATGAAAGTTTGTTAGAAAATAATAGCATGAATGATACAGAATTAGAAATAAAGGCACCAGAATCGAACACTCAAGAAGAGCAAGGAGAAAAATCATCTGTTTTATCCCCTAAATTGGACGATCCAAATCCTTTTGACGCGGTTGCAGTGGGGGAAACAGCGGAGGAGAAGGTGGTTATTGTTGAATGCGAGAACTCAGAGCAAACGGGTGGATGTTGGAACTCGGTGGTGGTCGAGCCTACGAGTTTGTTGAAAGACGAGAAGAAAGGAGCCGAGGGTGCTGCAAATGATGGAATTTCTACCTCTGATGTTGCTGCTACGGAGCGTGGTGGTAGCGAATTAACAAATTCGACCAAAGTTGACGTTGGAGAGTGTGAAGCAGCTGTAATTGTGCGAGATAATGGTTTAGATGCAGTCGAAGAAAATGCCAATAACAGCGAGGAGGTTACCAATACAAATGGTTCGTTCGCGATTCAGAATGATAAAGACGGAAGTGAAGATAAAATGGAGACTGTGAAAGTGGAGGAAGCTGGCGAGACGATGAAAGAGGGCGGAGGAGTGGATGTTCCGCTGGTGCCAGTTTCTGAAATTGATGAAAGAGAGGAAGTGATGGCGGATGTTAAGATATCAGGTGACGAAATTGTTCTAGGAGATGAAGCAATCACAGAGAGTCAGGTTGATGTCCAAGATGCGGAGGCAGAAGTTGTTGCAGACGAAGAGGAAGGTCTTGAGGAAGGAAACACGACCGACGACGAGAACGCTGCTGGTGCTGCAGAAAACGAGGATGAAGAGCCAACGTTGGCAGATGAGGAGAAATCATTAGATACAGAATTGGAGACCGATGAAGAAGCAACCATGGCTGATGAAGAGAAAGCCCCAACGGAGGAGATGGAAACGGAATTGACAGAGTCGGTTGTTAAGCGTGGCAGAAAGAAACGGAAAAGAGGAGGGAAGAACTCAAAAGCTACCCCCAAGTCTACAGTTGGGCGTAAGAAGATAATTGACGAAGATGTTTGCTTCATTTGCTTTGATGGCGGAGACCTTGTGCTATGCGATATGAGGTGAGTTTTCTTGATTGATGATCAATCTAGGTTTACAGTGTTCTAAATTCCGTTGTTCCATATCTACAGGACTTGCCCTAAAGCTTATCACCCTTCTTGTGTTAACCGAGAAGCCGCTTTCTTCCAAACCAAGGGTCGATGGAATTGTGGTATGTTCTCTAACCTCTCATACATTTAAATAATTATTGCTTTTCACCTCATGTAATATATTTACCATTTATATTATCAAAACAAGGACCAAAATTGACTCTTCTCAGAAACTAGTTTCTGAAAACAAGGTAAATGACAAAGCCTAAGGTGGCGTTTGGTTTGCTGGGTTCCTTAGGAATTCAATTACATTCCATTCTGGTGTTAAAAGTAAAACTTGCTCCTTCTGGGTTCTCTTGAGCTGACATTCACCAAACAAGCACCAACCAAAGAGGAAATCTTTCAGAGAATGTGGATATGAAAAACGAATGAGTGAAGTATATGTTTATTATGATTGAAAGAATGAAATCATACATGGGGTATTTATATAGTGTGGATTGGGGATTTAAGTAGGAATAGGACACTCTAATTTTGGACTTTGTGGTGTGTGTATGTTATGGACAAAGTTTTTTTTTTTTGTTTTGTTTCTGCTGTAAATGGTTAAGGGTGTTACATGATATATGAGAGCTAATCTTGGAGCAGTTGGTTTGTATCAGAGATTCAGTTAAAAGGGAGATTCATCAGAGAACCTGCCACAACACAGATACCATGAATGCTTCACTGCTAAAGTTGATGGCTTTTTTCCAGTAGGATAGTGTCACTGTGTGACTCCATGAATGCTTAATTGAGTTGTGCAAACAAGCAAAGCCTTTTTTTTGTGTGTGTGTGGTGAAGTTGTCAAAAGGAAAAACTGTTGCTTTCTAATATCCAATGGCATTATATTATGCTTGTTCTTTTTTGATGTAATCAAATTCAAATGTATAATTAAGTCCTTGCTGTAAACAAATGCAAGGACTTGAATGTAGTATGATTAAGTTGTTGTAAAGGCACACATACATACTTGTTTTAAGCAATTACTGCAAAAGCATTTTAAATAACCAATCTACTACACCTTTTGCAATATTTGTTTTCATTGTTTTCTCATGTGAATAATCTCAAGAAAAAAGTTTTTCTTCTTAACCTTAAACAACAAAGAGATAAACATGGCAACTGAGAAATGAAGAAAAGATCATGAAAATTAAAAGAAGTAAGAGAAATAAAGAAATCATTTTGAATACTTGAGTTTCTTAGATACCATTTAAATGTGCTTTTACTATGTGCCATATTAAATACTTGATTTCTAAGATACCATTTAAATGTGCTTTTACTTAAATTACCATGGTAGCAACATATTTATTTATTATTTTTAAATTTTTAAATTTTGGGTTTCAGGTTGGCATCTATGTAGTACCTGTGAGAAGAAGGCTGAATACATGTGCTATACATGCACCTTTTCCTTGTGCAAATCATGTATCAAAACCAATGTTATATTATGTCTCAAAGAGAAAGAGAAGAAAGGTTTTTGTGAGACTTGCATGAAAACCATCATGCTAATTGAAAAAAACTCTCAGGAAAATCAAAATCAGGTATAATTATATTATTCTTTACTCTTAATTTAATATCAATTGATAACTAAAAACCTGTGTTTCAATAGGGTGATGTAGATTTTGATGACAAGAACAGCTGGGAATATCTATTTAAAGATTATTGGATAGACATGAAATCCAAACTCAATCTTTCATTACCCGACCTTCTTGAGGCCAAGAATGCTTGGAAAGGATTCGATCCAGCTGGCAAGAAAGACCCGCCAGCTGTACACTCCGAAGGTGGTTCAGGCTCAGAAAACCCTTCCTCCTCCCCTTCCCCTTCCCTACAAACAAAAAAGAAGCGAATAAGAAAGCCTAAAAAGCTCAAAGAAGATCTGAAAAACACCGATTGGGCATCAAAAGAGCTTCTAGAATTCGTGGCCCACATGACAGGTGGCGACACGTCATTTCAAACACAGTTTGATGTCCAAGCTCTCTTGCTTGAGTACATTAAAACAAACAAACTTCGCGATTCGCGTCGCAAAAGTTATATAATTTGTGATGCAAGACTCGAAAGACTTTTTGGAAAACCACGTGTTGGACATTTTGAGATGTTGAAGCTTCTAGAATCCCATTTTCTTATCAAAGAAGATTCTCAGATAGATGATGTACAACTACAAGGGGACACTGTTGACACTGATGTTGTCCAGGTGGACAATGATGATGAAGGTAATGAGAATGTGAAAAGTGGGAAAGATAATAAAAAACGTAAAATTCGCAAGAAAGTTGACCGAGAACCTCAGTCAAACCGTGAGGATTATGCTGCAATTGATACACACAATATAAATTTAATTTACATGAGAAGGAAGTTGGTGGAGGATTTACTTAAAGATAATGAAACATTTCATAAAAAAGTTTTTGGGACTTTTGTTAGAATAAGGATTCCTGGTTCTCATAATAAGAGTGACATATATAGACTGGTTCAAGTTACAGGTAATTAAACACTTTACTTTTTTTTTTTTTTAATTTTTTATTCCTAATATATAAATAATTTGGTTAATCTACAATGATTGAAAACAGGGACTATCAAAACGGAGGAATATTCAGTTGGCAAACAGAAGACTGATTCCATGCTTGAAATATTGAATCTTGACAAAACAGAATCTGTATCCATTGATACCATTTCAAATCAAGAATTCACAGAGGTTATAAAGTTAATTTTTTTTTGAAGAATTAATGGTATATTTTGAGTTGCTGATATGTTTAGTTTTCATATGGTAGGATGAATGCAAGCGTCTAAGGCAAAGTATAAAGTGTGGATTGATAAATAGGCTGAAAGTGGTATGTTTTTCTTTTTTCTTTATATATATATATATATATATATATATATATATATAAATTGTTTCCATTGTTCTAACATGTTTGGTTGCTTGTAGGGAGACATTCTGGATAAAGCCATGGATCTTCAAGCTGCAAGAGTTGATGATGTAACTTCTGTAATTCGATTCATCTTTTTCGTTATTTATGTATTTTATTTTAAATATATTTTGTATCTAATGCTTTATAAATGTTTCAGTGGCTTGAATTGGAGGTTTTGCGCCTTAGTCATCTTCGTGATCGAGCAAGCGATTTAGGGCGTAAAAAGGAATATCCTTATTATTATTTTTTTTTTACTGTTTCATATTGCTACCATTTTCCCTTTCATTTTTATGTTATTCATGATGAATTTAATGGAGAGTTTTGACTTTTGTGTGATCCTTGACTTGTATATCCACGCTCAGAGAATGTGTAGAAAAACTACAAATTTTGAAGACACCTGAAGAACGTGCTCGTAGGCTAGAAGATTTACCTGTAATACATGATGATCCTACTATGGATCCAAAACATGTGTCTGAAGATGACACAGATGAAGATGACAAGAAACAAGGTATTAATTTACCATAAGTAAATTTCAGTAAATAGCAACCAATATACCAACTATATTGGTAAAAAGATTGGTTTATGAATCTGTATTGCTATATGTAGATACATACAAAAGCTCTGTGGGCCCCAGATTTAATAATAACCGGAGACGAGACTACCCCTCGAAAGAACCTTGGAGTAGTACAAGAGGTCCTGCTAAAAATTACGAATTTGCCCGAAACTTGAGTTTCTCAAACAAAACCGAACCACATAATGAAAATTTACGCGATCAAGGACGGGACCCAATCGTGCAAAAGAAAAACGAAGATTCACCTTCACCTTCAAGTTCAAGAAAAGATGTTATTCCCGAAACTACCCCTGAAGTAAACGAAACAGAGAAAATGTGGCATTACAAGGATCCATCTGGGAAAATTCAAGGCCCGTTTTCAATGGCACAATTGCGTAAATGGAACAATAATAAGTTTTTTCCTGTTGATTTGAAAATATGGAGAAAGAGTGAGAAGGAAGATGATGGTGTTCTTTTAACCGATGCATTAGAGGGACGATTTAAAATTACAATTACGCTCCCTGTTAAGTGGGGCCCAAAACATGATGAGAGAGATGGTTTTGGTTTAGGTTTAGGTAGCCTTCCCTCTCCTACTCCCACTCCAAACCAAAGTAAGAGTATGGCTAGTTCTTCATATCATGGTGCCAACGAAGGGCTGAAGTCACCTACACCGAGTGCTAGTGGTCCCCGGATGGTGGCATTTGGTGGTGGTAATAATATGCCGCCGCCAGTTGTTCAACCGGTTACCACCACCGATCAAAGTCTTTCCGGTGGGCCTTATGGTTGGAGTGGCGGTGCACCTCATAATCCACAACCGAGCCCCCAGTGGGGTGGTGGTGGTGGTGTACCGAATATGGTTCAGAATCCTTCCGGAAACTTTCTGCCACCGCCACCTCCGGTTAATCTGCCGCCGCCACCACCAGCACCGCCACAACAACAACCAAATGTAAGTTGGCAACCTCCTCCAGGAAATCAAAACATGAATTGGGGAGTTAATGTTCAAGGTCCACAATTAACAGTGAATTCCCCATGGGGTTTGCAACTGCAAGCAGGTGGTGGTAGTGGTGGTGGTGGTGGTTGGGTTGGTCCACTACCACCAACGCCAACACCAGCACCGGGTCAAGGGTGGGTTTCTGGGAACCCTAGTTGGGTTCCTGGTGAGGTGAACCAGGGAGCATCATCCAATATGATGAGCAGTGGATGGGTTGGTGGGCCCAGTGAGATAGGGTGGGGTCCACAGGCGAACCAGGGGTGGGGTTCCCCAACACCTAGGAATCGAGGAGGCATGTGGGACAGAAATGAACAAAACTACAACAGAAGTGGGTTTTCAGGACAAAAGAGGAATAGAGGTGGTGGTGGTGGTTATACAAGGCACTGAAAGTGACAAACCTCAAACCCCAGGGGGTGTGATCGTAACATTTGTTTTGTACAGCATTTGTAGTGTGTGGTGGGTAGATGAAAGATGGATGTTTGCGTTTTAGGTTATATTTATAGTTATTTAGCATCTCTTTCGTCATTGATAGAAAACGTGTGCAGTGTAGGTTTTTTATGTGCTTTTAAGATTTAACATAATATCATAACCGACTAGACTTGTCTGTCCTGTCTTGTCTTGTCTTGTCTTGTCTTGTAGCATTGCGGGTTTTTTTCTTATTGTTTATGCTGAATAAACGTGATTCATGGTTCATGCCATAGACACCATGATTCATAGTGACACTTATTGATGTTTCCCTTTTTTTATTTCTACTTTTTTTTTTTTTTCATATAAAAGCAATGTTTTTTCTATCTTCTGGAATTTGGGGGGAGAGAGAACCAAATGCAACTTCAGCTTAAGTATCATCAGATCAAGGGGTGTTTTTTTATGAGATAATTGCAAATTTAGCCAAATACATTGATTATTGTGTAAAATAGCAAAAAAAAAAAAAAAACCCAAATTACAAAATTAGCAAAACCCAAATTACAAAATTAACCCTTAAAATCGCAGGTTTTGCATTTCCATCTGCGAACGTACCAGTGCATGAAACACATATGTGCTTTAAACACTTGTATGTTCGCAGATGGAACAATCCATCTGCGATTTCATAAAAAAAACGTTTTTTTAATTTTTTTCTTTTAATTTTGTATTTTTCATTATCTTTTTTAGAGTAACTCTATCTCTTATACATGAGTTGATAATTCTATTTTATTTTGTGCAACTGTTGGTTGGATTTAGACTTTACTTGATGCATGTTTAATTAGATTGTACATTCTATTTCTACTATGGCTAATACCACTTAAAGTGAATACAACTCCTTTCAATAAATTGTTCTTAGCTATCATATTTATAAAATATTCAACCAACACAAAATAATAGTCCATATTAACAAGAAAGTTAAAAGTTAACTAGAGATAAATTTTAAAGGACGAAAGGGTTTAACTAATAATTAGATTAAGAATTAAGTAAAAAATAAGTGAGATTGGTCGACGAACCGTAACTCAACTGGAATGGGACTGGAAACAACATTTTGTGGCCGTGATTGTTGACCATCGCAACTGCTTGGCTGCTTACACTTAGAAACAAACTTATACTTTTCTTTTTCTACACGATAAAAATAAAAATAAAAATAAAAATAAGCAATAATATATATCTTAACAAATTTTCCAAAGAAATTACAAAAAAAGTTGATAATTTTTTGAAAAAGTTATATATAATATGGTTGTTTCGTAGTCAAACTCTATCAATTTCGTAGTCAAAGTTATAATTTTTTTTTTAAAAAAACAAAAAAATACTAAATCGCAGATGAATAAAAAGAAAATTGCAGATAAACATAGTTAATCTGCAATTTTAAGTTGGAAAAGGGGTATATATAGAACAAAAAAAAAATCATCTGCGAACATACACGTAGCTAAAACACGTCTATGCTTTAGCCACTTGTACGTTCGCAGATGAATCATACACATCTGCAATATTAGTGGCTAAAAATGCAATGTTGGTTTTTTTTAGCTATTTTTTACAAAGTAATTAGTGCATTTGACTAAATTTGTAATTTTCTCTCTCTCTCTCTCTCTCTCTATATATATATATATATATATATATATATATATATATATATATATATATATATATATATATATATATATATATATATATATATATATATAGTTTATGTAACATCTTAATAGCTCATATGTAAGTGGAAGACACTAAGTTCATTTGATTTGACTTCATAGTCTGATAGATTTAATGGGTAAATGATTTAAAATCATTAACTAGACCGTTTGGAATTATTTGTTTCTTACAGAGAAAAAAAAATCAATGGTGGAATTAAGTCATCTGGCCTTTTTTGTTTCATAAAGAAAGAATAACCATGGTGTAATTTTATTTACATCAATTATTCATACTTTCTGACAAAAGGGTTGAAATTGTTGTACCTTCTACAGTTCTTCTGCTCACAGAGCTTCGGAGTTTGGATCTGTGTTGTAGACACTGTTGGATGGGCACCACGATCCCAAGTAGAGACATTTACCTTAAGCTTTACCGTTTTGATCCCGGTTGCAATTATGATATTTTTTCAATATTAATTTATAGATATTCAAAGTGGTATAATTGCAATATTATTAATTCGTGTTAATTTCTTAAAATGTCAAAGAAGAAACACATCGTATGAAACACTTCAAAATAAAGTTCATTAAAAAAACCATAAACGGATGTTTTGTTGGTGCTTGAAGTGTTATCAAGCATTTTAGGTAATTCATATTTAAGGATTATGTCATGCACACATGTCCATATGCTTTTGTGAACTATGGTGCCCAAAACCGTTCAAAGCAGATTTGAGGCACGAAGCAAAATTAAATATGAGGTCCTTCAAAACATAGAATATATTAATTAAATAACTAAAGTTGAAGTATAATAAGGTCTAACAATTGTATTAGAATAAGGTAGACGTATAATTGAAGTGGAGCATATAGGATCACAATCCAATCTTCCAAACATATCTTCAATGCTTTTACCTCACTCATTTCTAAGAAAATGCATCACCACATTAAAGAGACTCTAGGATCTTGATCACACAAACTTACTAGCTTTTGTACCCAAGTAATTGGGGCCAAATCAAGCTTCCAAACAACATAAAAAACCTAATCATAAACACTAATTTACGTTGCCTTTATTAGTAAAACAAAAACATAATCATAGACCAAATTTTATAGTCCATAAAATGGAATAAAGAACAACACCTATCAAACAAAATATTGAACTCATACCAAATTCGAATACCCATACCGATTCCCCGTTGATATCATTCAAACTAATAAATTTTTTGCATTTTTAGCAAATGATCATGCAACACAATAAAGAAAACCACAAAACTAGAATGAAATTATAAATAATTATACACCTATGAAATAAAAGTATAAACAAAGTAAACCATCCATGCTCATGATGTCTCTCCCACATTGCCTTTGCTTTTCCAACATCTTCAATTCTTTATCAAAACTAACTTGAAACACCGATAAACTTAAAAGATGAGTGGATAAAACTTTAAGTGATTAATACATAGATTCAAATTCAGAGAGTAAAGAATATAGTCATCGAGAATGAGAAATGAATTTCAGTTGACAAATGAACGTTAGAACTTCAAATTTCATAAATCATAAATCAATATTTATAACTTGTAAAACACTTACACTTACACTTTTTGGTACGTTTTAAAACTTTTAATTTTGTGAGAACGGAAAAATGATTCTCAGCAATACATTTTCGAAGAGAAAATACAATCCTTTTTCTATAAAAAAAAACTTACATGACATTATTTATCGTGAATTTTAACATCCAAATAAAAAAAATCAAAAAATCATCATTCTAGTTGAAGAGTCTAATTTGAATATTGTTAAGATTTTGATTGCACATAGTGATATTCTAATAGAAATTATATGTAAAACCATAACATTTAAACAATATTTTATTTAAAATAAAATGTATTTATACATAATCTTTCCAATAATTATCAGAGTTCGCAACTTTTCGATGTTACAAATAATATCAACAACTATAGTAAAAGAGAAAATGATTAAACAACATTCTCTATTCTATCCATCATCATCATCGATCACACTCTACTCTTCCACTTCTATACCTGAGTTCATGCACATTAAAACAAACACGTTAGACAAAAAGTCTTGTGAGCTACATGAGTTTTTGACACATTCTCATTCATTTATTTATTTTATATACTTTAAATTATTCTTTCCACAAAGACTTTAGCACATAAATCCTAACAAGTACGCCCAACAGAAGAACGAATCAACCGGGCTAGCCGTAACCCATACGAGTTACACATGTGTCCTACTGTTAAAGACTAATCCAAGATAGACTTGCCACAATCCTCCATCAAACTCATGTTAATCCATGATAATCCACTAACGGGAACCAATAACACAATCTAAAACTTCCACACATGCTCTTTATAAAGCTATAAATTTTCTTTACATCATTTATTCCTTTTTCTTTTTACATTTTTCACTATATAGTGCCATTTTATGCCACCTATTCCATCTAACTTTTCATTAAGCTTTTAGTACATATTCACATCAAACATTTATCATAATTTTTTTTTCGTAAAGCCCATAATAAATGGATGCATGCACATGCTTCTTGCCCTAAACAACTCTCTATAGAGTTCACGTTAAGATTCACATATATGCTTATGCTAATTCATCAATAATTACTAAATGGTTGTTGTGTAACACCCTGTTCTGGGCCATTCTGTGATTCAGGGTTGTGGGTCAGAATTCGATTCCATAAAAGCTTTGAGGCCTTATGGAGACGATGTTTAGATCTTTAGGAAGAAGGAAATGACAGTTATGAGACCTAAATCCTCTGGATTGTGCTTTTGGCCGAACGGTAGCGTGGGAAAAGTCATAGGTCGATTCTTGCATGAGAAATGGATTTTTGTTCGAGAAGTTCTTTGTCTAATATATATAGATATTACTATGGGGCTTTTAAATACCTTTATGTGGATATAAACATCGTCGAAATCGGAGTTGAAATGAAGAAGTTATGACCATTCGAAGTTGGAGGGTTTTTAGGTTGAGCCTAGTACGTCGTGTGTACCAAATGTACGCTGGGTGTACTAGGCAAAAGGTGATCGTGGAGTTGAACCTAGTACGTCGTAGGCTGATGCCAAACCCTAATTTTTAGGGTATCACCCATATTTAAAGGCATTAACTCGCCCTTGGGGCTCACATAATCAGCCTCCACTCCTTCCAAAACCTAATATCGAGTATATCCCTTGTGAGTGAAGATATTGAAGCTTGGTGGTGATTTTGGTGGCCTTTATGTTAAAGAAGAAGATTAGTGAAGAAGGAGGTGTTGCTTGCAAGCTTTTGGATCTAGAAACTACT